CCCTTGCCTGGACCTGGCTTGTCTCTTATCTACTGCTTGTCTTGTCCCCCAACTGGATCTTAATGCTCTCTTGTCTCCACTGCCTGCTTTGACCCCCTGCTTGGACATGACTATTCTCTTGAATGTCGCCTGCCTTGACCCCTGTCTGGACCTGACTTCTTTCTTATCTGCTGCCTGTTTTGTCCCCTGCCTGGATTGGACTACTCTCTTGTCTCCAACCTGCCTTGACCCCTACCTGGACCTGACTACTCTCTTGTTTTCTGCCTGCTTTGACCCCTGCCTGGACCTGACTACTCTCTTGTCACCTGCCTGCTTTGACCTCTTCCTGGACTTGACTACTCTCTTGTCAGCTGCCTGCTTTGACCCCTTCCTGGACCTGAATACTCTCTTGTTTTCTGCCTGGTTTGACCACTATCTGGACCTGACTACTCTCTTGATTGACACCTGCTTTGATCCCTGCCTGGACCTGATTACTCTCTTGAATGTCACCTGCCTTGACCCCTGCCTGGACCTGACTACTCTCTTGAATGTCACCTGCCTTGACCCCTGCCTGGACCTGACTACTCTCTTGTCACCTGCCTGCTTTGACCAATTCCTGGACCTGACTACTCTCTTCTTTTCTGCCTGCTTTGACCCCTGTCTGGACCTGACTACTCTCTTGATTGCCGCCTGCCTTGATCCCTGCCTGGACCTGACTACTCTCTTGAATGTCACTTGCCTTGACCACTTCCTGGACCTGCCTACTCTCTTGTCACCTGCCTGCTTTGTCCCCTGTCTGGACCTGACTACTCTCGTCTTTTTTACCTGCTTTAAACCCTGTCTGCTCCTGACTACTCTCTTGATTGCCACCTGCTTTGACCCCTTCCTGGACCTGACTACTCTCTTGTCACCTGCCTGCTTTGACCCATTCCTGGACCTGACTACTCTCTTCTTTTCTGCCTGCTTCGGCCCCTGCCTGGACCTGACTACTCTTTTGAATTTTGCCTGCCTTGACCCCTGCCTGGACCTGCCTACTCTCTTGTCACCTGCCTGATTTGACCCCTTCCTGGACCTGACTACTCTCTTGTCATTTGCCTGCTTTGACCCCTTCCTGGACCTGCCTACTCTCTTGTCACCTGCCTGCTTTGACCCCTGCCTGGAGCTAACTACTCTCTTGTCACTTGCCTGCTTTGACCCACTTCCTGGACCTCAGTACTCTCTTGTTTTCTGCCTGCTTTGACCCCTGCCTGGACCTGACTACTCTCTTGTCACCTGCCTGCTTTGACCCCTTCCTGGACCTGACTACTCTCTTGTTTTCTGCCTGCCTTGATCCCTGCCTGGACCTGACTACTCTCTTGAATGTCACCTGCCTTGATCCCTGCCTGGACCTGACTACTCTCTTCTTTTCTGCCTGCTTTGATCCCTGCCTGGACCTGACTACTCTCTTGAATGTCACCTGCCTTGATCCCTGCCTGGACCTGACTACTCTCTTGTCATCTGCCTGCTTTGACCCCTTCCTGGACCTGACTTCTTTCAAGGCACGCACATTCGTTTAATCATCTTCATTGAGCAGTACCAATGTATTGTCCTGACCACATGTTGCACCCCCCAGGAGCTGCTCACAATAACCCAGGACAGTATAATGACTCCTTGTAAGAGAGGAACGGATTACTGGAATGTTCCAGCATGTGGAGACCACCAGACGTGACAATAAAAACGTGATTCCAGCTCAGGAACGAGGCCGGTCCTAATCACCTCCAGCTGATGGATCGTTGTGGCGCCGCACGCGGACAGAGGTGAAAGCACGACCTCCGCGAGCCGAGAGACGGGAATATCATTTACAGTATGAAGAAGATGGAAAGCCGGTTCAGAGCGGCTGGAGGTCCCGGGGTGTGTCGGGGCTGAGATCTGTACAATGAGGATTCCGGGCCTCTGCTGAACAAACAGATATTTGTTGTAGGAAGAGTTCCATTCTATTCATAATTCAAATGTATCCAAGAACAGAAACGAGATACATTGTATCTCTCCGGTCCTTATGTGTGACAACTGCTCTTGTCTTCTTTATTCCTCTAATGGTGATCCGGCCAGTAACACACTTCCTGTCCCAGGGTGACAACGCTCACTAGACTGGATCTATGGAGCAGCAGAGTTGTCACCGTAGGACACCTTCCCCTCTCCTCTTCTTCATAACATGGGGGGAGGGGTTTGATGGTCCTCATATATTTCCTGATAACTTTGATGTAAATCGCCATTTCTGAACCTTTCTGCAGTCATGGCACCCTCTGAAACTATGTCAGACTTCAAGTTCCCTAGTCTAAAATGAGGTAGCCTGTCCCATCAGAATCCCCCCCTTCACATCAGAGTACTTCACCCCCCCCACCCACCTTTCACATCAGATACCTTAATCTCCCCTCCCCTTTCCCGTATCAGTGTCCACCCCCCCCCTTTACATCAGAGTCCTCCCATTCCCCTCCTTTCACATCAAAGCCCTCCCATCCCCCTCCCTTCACATCAGAGTCTTCATACTCCCCCCCCCCCCATACAATAGAACATAAAAGAAAAGAATAGAATAGATAAAAAATAGAATAGAATAGAAGTACCCATCTACTACTTATAGACTCAAATGGAATAAAATAGAAAGAATATAGCCATCTTCTGAAATTTGAATTTTAAAAAAGAATAGGATAGAATAAAATAGAATAGAAAAGAATAGAATAGTATAGAAACTGAATAGAATATATAGGAATAGAAAATAATAGAATATAAAATAAAACAGAATAGAATGGAATGAACTTAGCCGTCTTCCAAAATTTAAATTTCCAAAAGTATAGAATAGAATAAAACAGAATAGAATATAAAATAAAGGAATAGAAAATATTAGAATAGAATATAAAAATAAAAGAATGAAAAAGAATAGAATAGAAAATAAAAAATAATACAAAAGAATATAAAAGAATAGAAAGGCATAGAATAGAATAGATGTAGCCGTCTACTACTTAAAGACTTGAACGGAATAAAATAGAAAGAATATAGCCGTCTTCTGAAATTTGAATTTTAAAAAAGTATAGGCTAGTATAAAATAGAATAGAAAAGAATAGAATAAAACAGAATAGAAAAGGAAACAAAATAGAATAGAATGAATATAGCCATCTTCTGAAATTAAAATTTAGAACAGAATAGAGTAAAACTGAATAGAATAGAAAAGAATAGAATAGAAAATAAAATAATTGAATAGAAAAACAAAGAATTGAATAGAAAGAAAAGGCTGTTCTTCACAATGAATTCGGGTCGATTTGATCTTTTTTCGATTCTAATTCAATTTGAATATTTCTCATCCATTGGAAAAAAAAGCTAAATCCAGTCAAAAACGAATAAACTAAACAAATTTTGTTTGGTTCAGCACATGTCTAGTGATCAGTGTTTCCTCCGCCTCTATCATTACCCCACCAGTCATTGGGGGGGGGGGGGGGGGCAGCTGAAACATTCGGAAGCAAAGCCCTGCCTCAACAAAGATGGCCGCCTCCATGCGGCGACACAGCATAGGACAGGGCATGGATAGTCAGCAATGGGGGAAGGATCAGCTGCAGGGAGACCACACTGGTGAGCAGTCCTTGATCCTCGGCCGGACTTTTATTTTTGCTCCCCGTGCTCAGCTCCCCAGTAACAGGAAGGAGGAGATCTGATTCGATCTCCACTTTAATCGTCCGCCCTCATCTGTCGTATTATTTCTTCTATTTATAAATTGTATCAATAAGTAAAACATCCAATAACAACGCTCAGCTCCTCCTCCGTGTGTTTGTTGTTCCTCCTACTCGTCTCCATCAATTATTATTCTGCCTGGAACACTTTAAGTTGTGATTGGGATTTTTTTTTTTTAATCACAATTTTTTTTTTAAATATAAGAAATTTAAAAAAAAAAGTTTTTTCATTTAAAAAAAAAAAATGACATCCTGTCCCCAGTGCAGTTTGGCGCCATCATATGACGGGTGTGTGGCGGCGATCCGGGACTCTGACTGGTGACAAGATGCAAAAAAATTATAATTGTTTTTTTAATTTTTTAATTTTTTTTCTTTTTTTATGTTTTTATTCTTTTTTTTAACACACTGACTAGAGCAATAAAATGTTACATAGTAACAGCACTACTCTGGAGAAGAGATCAGGAATATTTTACACATTATGATTGTTTACATTATTATTATTATTATACAGGATTTATATGGCGGCAGAAGGTTCGCTCAGCGCTGTACATTATAGGGGGGGACAGAACATGAGACAGGACAGTAACAATACAATACACGAGGGGTGCGAGGGCCCTGATCCTGGGAGCTTACAATCTAGGAGGGAGGGGGTAGTGGTATAGGAGGAAGTGGCTGTGGGGGATGGAGTGGTAGGAGGAGTGGAGGAGATCGGCTGTTAGGTGAGGGTGGGGTAGGCTTCCCTGAAGAGGTGGGTTTTCAGGGTGCGCCTGAAGGTGAGGAGGGTAGGTGACAGTCTGATGGATTGGGATAGTGAGTTCCAGAGGATGGGGGAAGTCCTGGAGAAGTCCTGCAGTCAGGCGTGGGAGGAGGAGACCAGGGAGCTAGAGAGTAGGATGTATTGTGAGGAGCGGAGATTACAGGTTGGGTGGTATTTGGGTATCAGGTCGGTGATGTAGTTTGGGGCGGAGTTATGAATGGCTTTGTATGTCAGTGTTAGTAGTTTGAATTTAATGCGTTGGGCAATCGGAAGCCAGTGGAGGGATTGGCAGAGGGGGGTGGAGGACACTGAGTGGAGGCCAGTGGAGGGATTGGCAGAGGGGGGTGGAGGACACTGAGTGGAGGCCAGTGGAGGGATTGGCAGAGGGGGGTGGAGGACACTGAGTGGAGGCCAGTGGAGGGATTGGCAGAGGGGGGGTGGAGGACACTGAATGGAGGCCAGTGGGAGGGATTGGCAGAGGGAGGTGGAGGACACTGAATGGAGGCCAGTGGAGGGATTGGCAGAGGGGGGTGGAGGACACTGAATGGAGGCCAGTGGAGGAATTGGCTGAGGGGGGTGGAGGACACTGAATGGAGGCCAGTGGAGGGATTGGCAGAGGGGGGTGGAGGACACTGAATGGAGGCCAGTGGAGGGATTGGCAGAGAGGGGTGGAGGACACTGAGTGGAGGCCAGTGGAGGGATTGGCAGAGAGGGGTGGAGGACACTGAGTGGAGGCCAGTGGAGGGATTGGCAGAGGGGGGGGTGGAGGACACTGAGTGGAGGCCAGTGGAGGGAATGGCAGGGGGGGTGGCAGATACGGAGCGGTTGGTGAGGTGGATGAGTCTGGCCGCTGAGTTCAGGATAGACTGAAGCGGGGATAGTCTGCGATGAGGGAGGCCGGTGAGGAGGGAGTTGCAGTAGTCCAGGCGTGAGATGATGAGGGAGGGTACGAGTAGTTTGGTGGTGTCTGGGGTGAGGAAGGTGCGGATCTTGGCGATGTTGCGGAGGTGGAATCTACATGAATTCGCCAGCGATTGGACATGGGGTTGGAAGGATAGATTGGAGTCTAGAGTGACACCTAGGACTTTGGCTTGCGGGGTGGGACTGATGGTGGCGTTCAGGCGCGGACTGACCATTTGGAAACTTGGGCACTGCTCGAGGGCCCGGGGTCAGTAGGGAGCCCCGTGAGATGCCCCTGGTACCTTTTTCATAGGCTTTTTTGAGTTTGGGCAAGGACACAGGGGCCCCATGATCCCCTATTGCCCGGGGGCCCCATGAGTTGTCAGTCTGCCCCTGCAGGGGCCCCATGATCCCCTATTGCCCGGGGGCCCCATGAGTTGTCAGTCCGCCCGTGATTCGACCCAACTATGGGCAGGCTGACCGTGCCCAAATCAATTCATCGATCGAGGTGGGTACAAGCAGCATGTCGGATCTCTAGCATGCGATCGCGGCCAGCGGCCAGCAATAATCATTGTGTTCTCCCGGCAGGGATGGCGTTCCTCTAGGAGAACACAATAGCTCCACGGGAGGGATTCCCCCATCAACACTGACTTTGCTGATGGAGGAATCGAGCGATTTTCTTTCCCGAAACCCGTTGGTGCAGGAAAGAAAAGTTGCATAATCTATGACCTGCCTTACATCATATCTGTTATCACATGTGGGCGGTCTGTATGCAAATGCAGCCTGACTAGGAACGCCCACTCCTCCACCCAACAAGGCATTTTGATATTTACATAACTCCTCCCAAGAGCCAGCCCACTTTTTACATCAGGTGTGACAACTCTTGAGAGGAGTACTGAGGCAGGGTGCTGTGACGTCATCAGGAAGCTGTGCCCCTCTCACCAGCCATGATCTGCCTGTATTGCCTAGAGAAGCATAGGGACCTCATAATGTACCTGGGTCTGTAATAGAACAGAACAATGTCATTTGAAAATGTCATTATCATGTTAATGGAGGGGGGAGGGGGGCTAATAGACTCGAATGGATCCTCAGCTTTAAGCTCAGACATGGGCCTGCAGAGAGCGCGGTCGGGGCGCGTCTTTCAGATAAATATTTGCAGCTGTGGCGGCGGATCAGCGGAGGACAAGCCGGCAGCTGGAAATTCTTCTCGGGATTATTACATTTTGATTTACGGGCTCCACTTTCCAGGACTCCCTTCCGCTGGCCTACGCGATATTCCCAGAAAACCCGGAGTGGGTCCCGGCCGGGACGGCAATCAGAGAGAAGGCGGATCCACATGTCTGGTGATTGTTCTCATCGCCGTCATACGGGACCTGGGGGGCCCCGGAACAGAGACTCCCCCCTCCCCAAAGTAATGTGTTCCAAAAGTTGTCTTCAGTCTTTTAAATCTGCAGCTTTCAATAGGCTAATCCCCGGTGATCCTGCCATAAAGGAACAGTTGTGCCGAAAAGTCTCCCTCCTCTGGCAGAAATGGTGGAATTTCGGCATTGATGGTGAAAATCTGACCGATCGTCCCAAACAACTGCTCTTTATTAGCGATGATATGAAGCCATTTCTGCCGGAGGAGGGAGACTTTTCGGCACAACTGTTCCTTTATGGCAGGATCACCGGGGATCAGATCCGGATCAGAAGTCTCCACTCCGGATCAGAAATCTCCACCCCCGGATCAGAAGTCTCCACCCCTGGATCAGAAGTCTCCTCCCTTGGATCAGAAGTCTCCACCCCCGGATCAGAAGTCTCCACCCCCGGATCAGAAGTCTCCACCCCCGGATCAGAAGTCTCCTCCCCCGGATCAGAAGTCTCCACCACCGAATCAGAAGTCTCCCACACCACCGGATCAGAAGTCTCCACCCCCGGATCAGAAGTCTCCACCCCCGGATCAGAAGTCTCCACCACCGGATCAGAAGTCTCCACCCCCGGATCAGAAGTCTCCACCACCGGATCAGAAGTCTCCACCCCCGGATCAGAAGTCTCCACCACCGGATCAGAAGTCTCCACCACCGGATCAGAAGTCTCCACCCCCGAATCAGAAGTCTCCGCCCTCGGATCAGAAATCTCCACCCCCGGATCAGAAGTCTCCACCACCGGATCAGAAGTCTGCCCACCACCGGATCAGAAGTCTCCGCCCTCGGATCAGAAGTCTCCACCCCCGGATCAGAAGTCTCCGCCCCCGGATCAGAAGTCTCCGCCCCCGGATCAGAAGTCTCCGCCCCCGGATCAGAAGTCTCTGCCCCGGATCAGAAGTCTCCGCCACCGGATCAGAAGTCTCCACCCCCGGATCAGAAGTCTTCACCCCGGATCAGAAGTCTCCTCCCCCAGATCAGAAGTCTCCACCCCGGATCAGAAGTCTCCTCCCCCAGATCAGAAGTTTCCACCACCGTATCAGAAGTCTCCGCCCCCAGATCAGAAGTCTCCGCCCCTGGATCAGAAGTCTCCACCCTCTGGAATGTTCAGCCTTGGTACAGACACACAAGGGGACACACACGGCAGGGTACAATGGCACTTAAAGGGTTAATTTCCCCCTTCTGTGACTTTTTAAATTGCAATCAGTGTATAAATAGTTGGTGAGTTTGTTCGCTCTCACGTGGAAGCACTGAGCAGGCTAGATACTGAGCCATGGAGAGCAGAAAAGAACCATCAAAAGACATGAGTAACAAGGTAAAGGAACTTTATAAAGATGGAAAAGGATATAAAAAGATATCCAAAGCCTTGAATACGCCAGTCCGTTCTGTTCAATCACTTATTAGGAAGTGCAAAATTCGGGGATCTCTTGATACCGAGCCAAGGTCAGGTAGACCAAGAAAGATTGCAGAAGAATTGTTCCGGATACAAAGAAAACTCCCCACAGGTCACCTCAGGAGAAGTACAGGCTGCCCTGGATAAAAGACTGTGCAGTTATTTCAAGGAGCACAATATGAAGATACTTGAACAAAAATGAGCTGCATGGTCAAGTTTCCGGAAAGAAGCCTTTACTAGGCCAATGCCACAAAAAAAGTTTAGTTACAATATGGCCGACAACAAATTGACACGCCTCATGGCTTCTGGCACATTGTAATCTGGAATGATGAGACCACAATAGAGCTTTATGGAGAGCTATGTTTGGAGAGGGATCACCAAGGTCTATGGCGACAAGAATACTATCCCCACTGTGAAGCATGGTGGTGACTCACTGGTGTGTGAGCTATAAAGGTACAGGGAATCTTGTGAAAATTGATGGCTAAATGAATGCAGCGTGTTATCAGAACATACTGGCAGACCGTTTATTCTTCAGCAGGAAAGCTGCTCATGGGACGCTCTTGGACCTTCCAGCACGACAATGACCCCAAGCAGAAGGCCAAGTTGACCCTCCAGTGGTCACAGCAGATAAAGGTGAAGGTTCTAGAGTGGCCATCACAGTCTCCTGACCTTCATATCATCGAGTCGCTCTGGGGAGATCTCCAACGTTTGGTTCATGGAAGACCACCAAAGACTTTGCATGGCCTGGAGGCATTTTGCCGAGACAAATGGGCAGCTCTACCACCTACAAGTATCCGGGGGCCCCATAGGAAACTATTACAGAGGACGGCGCGCTGTCATTGATGCTAAAGGGGGCACTACACAGGATTAGGAACTAAGGGGGTGCAGACTATTGAACAGTGGGGGGCATTTCATTGGTTGACTTGTCGCCATGTTCTGTTTTATGATTGGGCCATTCTGTTATCACCTCCAGTTACAGAATAGGAATCCCATAAGAAATACAAGAAATGGGTTTTGCCGGCTCACTCGTGTTTTCTACAAATGGTCCATCCTGTATATCACCGATTCTCCAAGGGGGGGGGGGGGGGGGGGCAACTTTTCAGCACAACTGTACTTCCTGGTATAGAATGACAATGCTCTGTTTCTGTCTGCCAGTTGTCCTCCTGCGTTGTCACCCTGTGTGGAGGCTACAGTCAGCTGTGCAAACACACAGTACGCAGAAACGGTCCACTTTTGTCCTCTGTAACACACTAAAGTGATCAGAAAAGGAGGTCATTGTTCAGGCACTTCCTGTTATGGGGTGACAACTGTTGCCAAATTGTTCTCCCACATTGCCACCCCGTAACATGTGCTCCTGGACTGTGATCCTGCCATAAAGATTCTTCTAGTTGAAGGGTGACAACGCTCTGTCCCTGTCTGCCAGTTCTGCTCCTGCATTGTACCCCTGTGTGGAGGCCGAATTCCTCTTGAAAAATAGCAGAGCACTTCCTGGTATGTGAAGGTGCCTAGGCACTCCTGTGCCTACAATCTCATAGCTGTATATCTGCAGTGTGAGATCATCTAAGGCTCTGATAGTCTCACAGAACTGGAGGGAGATTTGGTGATGTCACTACTGTGCAGATCAATGTTCTCCTTGCTGGTGTGGAAGTTGTACCTGAAGACCTGCAGTGCAAGGATCTCCCTGCTTCTCCTTCATTCATTCTGTGATCAGTGCTTCCTCTACATCTATCATTACCCCACCAGTCATCAGATCACCAGACATCACCAGGGACGCAGCTCTGACTGGGGAAGCAAAGCACTGCCTCTACAAAGATGGCCGCCTCCGTACAGAGACACAGTGCAGTACAAGGCATGGAAAGCCAGTTACGGGGAAAAGACCAGCTGCAGGGAGACCACAGACAACACTGGTGACCTTTGCCCTCAGCTTGCCTTCACATCTTCCACTGTTCAGATCCCTTTTTTACCTTTTATCGGGATGCCAGTGCATCACAATGCGGATTTTAACCACAAAGCACAGATATTTCACGTCTCTGCAGTGTGGGGCAATAATACCCCTCTGTGCTTTGATTTTTCCATTTCAAATGCCGCTTTATGTATTGACATACCTCCTTAGATCCAGTATGGTCACCTGCTGACTTTGCACCATCCACAGACAGCTTAACTCTTCAGTACAATGTTTAATGCAATTTTCCTTCAGCGAATTGCTGTGCAGGGGATGTTTTTCTAGTCTTTTGAAGCGTAAGAAGACAACGACTTTCCTTAGCCAGAAACTGACTGCACTAGTGTGAACTAGGGCCATTGGAGTACGTGGAAAAGACTTTGCATGCATTTTTGATGCAGAAAAAAAAAAGCGCACTGGACTGCATCTAGTGTGAACT